CATTTAAAGGGAAGTGACTTCCAGGTAAGTTGGGCATGTCCCACACCTGTACAAAAGCTGGTGCTCTCAGGTCCCCAGGGGCTTGGTACTTACATATGATTGTGTAAGAGAAGAGTGGAGACGGAAGAGTGGAAATTTCCAGTACCAGTGAGGCAGGGGGATCATCTAAACCAAATCAAACACACTACAAAACCAGATCATCTATACCAGATCAAAACACCTTATAAAAACAGAGCACCACTGAGATTCTTGATACAGGCTTCATCTACCACAAATTACCTTTTATAATTTTCTTTGAAGTGATATAGAATTATACCTTATAACTATGCACATTTCCGGAGGTAGAGTACAGCGTTTCGATGCATGGACACCCTGTCCAATCACTATGTCAGGGTAGTAGTGCCTCTCTCACCTCAAACAGTACCATTTCTTTGTCATGGGGACATTCAAATTCCTTGCTTTTGGTGATTCTGAGGTATACACATCATTCAATGTATCATTATCATCATATATCATGTATCAAATGACCGAATGTAGCAGCTTTACTGTGTGACAATGTGTAGTCGCCCATTTCCCGTTGGCTTCCTATGTACTGACCACTGTCCCCTCCATCTTGGCTTCCTCCTTTCTTCCCCAATTGCCAATAAGCACTACTCTTGTCAATTACCTTTAAAAAAATACCTGGCTTATTTAGAGGAAAACCCGTTAAGGAGAAGGATAGTTGGAATCTAGTTTGGTGCCCACTACTGATCGATGAGATGCTTGGCTGAGCCTCAGCAATTATTTTTTCCCACTGTTTGCTAGTAATTAGATTTGACTGGAAGCCTGCAGGTTAAAAATATAGTAAATACCAATTTTTAGAGGGTTGTCGGCAGCCAATTCTGCTGTCAAGTATGGAAGGAAGCTCCAATGGCTCTGCTTCATCCAGTCAATATTTATTGAACACCTATTATGTTCTACACACTGTTGCGGGTTTTAGGGACGCAGCAGTGTAACAGATGGACTAAGTCACACTCTGATGGAGTGCATATTCTAGGGTGAGAAGAGAGCACCAGTAGCTGGAGCATGGCTAAGGCATCGAGAGGGGCGATGAATGAGATGGTGGATGAGGATACAAGGCCAGCAGCTACTGAGAGCCTCTCTGACAGAGCATTTGAACAATTCCTAAATGCTGAGGATTATTTGATTTTATGGATGACATGACAGATATTTCACCATTAACAGTTAATATTCTGCTTATATATACTGTTCCATGTGTATTTAGTAGCTCATATCTTTTTTTCTTGACCTAGGTTCCATGATAAGAGTTTGAGATAAAGAACACAGGGAATTTTCAGGTCTTTCTAGTGAGTTATTTACTATTTATTATGGTATGAGTCTGGAACACAGATCTTGAAACATTAGCATAAGTAATCATGCTAAAGAGGTTAAATACAGAAACAAACTTAAATCCTGGAGTCAACTTTGATTTGAAAGACAGATCCTGGCCACAGACATGCCAGCAGTGTGAGCTTAGGCAAGCTGCTCACAAAACAAACAAACAAACAAACAAACAAACAAACAAAGAGACTAACTAACTAACTTACTAACACACACCAGAGTCTGCACATTTTCAAGACCATCGATTGAAAATCCACACTGGTGCACAGGCACCGAACCAGAACTCTGCCTCAGCCAATGACTGCACAGCCTGCTGCTTTCCTTCCTGATAATTTATTTGCATTATCATCTCATTGGCAACTTTTCACTTGTGTGGCTGAACAGCCATTGATGGTATGTGAATTCTGACGGACAGAATTTCACAGGGCTCACTCACGTCACAGTGCATGACAAGATACAGATCCGATCCGAACAAGTTTTGAGACAACGGGGAAACGAAACCAAGTGGAGGGCATGCAGTTAGCAGTGAGAGAAGCAGAAGCCAGCTCTAGCCTGTTTAGTGTTTCCGACGAGCTTCGTCTCCTGTGTGCTGCTGCAGACAGGCAGAGCTGTGTACCAAAAGTGCTGAGATAAACCAACGGGGACCAGGATACTACCGAAGACATTTGAAAAATAGGCATGTAACTCACTGGATGTCTGGACTGTTTCACTTTCCAACATCTTCCTGTGGCTCAAGGAAGTCTCTCCTGGTCACCTTCAGGCCTCTGTAGTTAGGGAGCCCTGGAAACCCAGGGAGGCCTATCCCAGACACCCAGCTCCTGGAGAGGAGCGTGAGTAGAGCTGTACTTCCTGTGCCACACCAGAAGCATAAACCCGGTGCCCTTCATACTTGTTTGAGAGAATTATCCCAAGCGCAGGCTGCCCATGCATTTGGATATACATAATTCCCAACATATTTCTGAAGGCAATTTACATGAGTGAACCACTAAAAGCCTCCCACTTAATTAACTGTACCCCTGGGGAAAAGCTATGGAGGCCCGGATAAGTGTGGGAACAACATAAAGGTGTACTCTGTGCCAAAAAGGGGATTGGGCTTGATGGAAAATCCCCAAAAAGGACCATCTGGCAGCATAAATTATCCATTTAAAGTGGCTGGTGTGAGCTAATGACACCAAAGTCGCCATGAACATGTGCACCATCCCTCAGTTGTGTTTTAATGTCCCCTCAGGCCCTGTTTCAATTATGACTTTCGATGCTGAATATGGCCAAATATAAATTTATCCACTGTGCTCTCCTGCCCCCGCAAATACATGCCATGAGATTGCATTTTTTCTTTAATGAAACAAGGACAGACAATGGGCAATCCCTCCAGGAACACAATTTCTTTAAGAAGAAGGAAAGGAAAAATCTCTCCATGCAAAGAGGATTTAACCATTAAACTTAACTTTCTGATGACTGCAAGGGGTGTGGAGATACAGATGTCAGGATTTATAATTATTTGACTCGTACTGTGTAGGTATGAACCACTTGGAATGAAAGAATTATTAGGGCAAAGTATTCTGCTCAACCAGCCCTCACAGTCCCTAAATACGCCAGAGAAGTAGAGGAGGCTGGAAAGGCTGGGCTCACTGTGAGGGGCTTTGTGTCTATTAATATCATAAGCCAGCTTTAGCATACGTGGAGCATGTGCATATAGCACCCCAGCACAAACGGACCGCACCTGTATACAGACTTGACGCTAACTTTGGCTGAACCAGGAAAGTTAGGACTGACTTTAAAGGGGGCTCAAACCAGTTTTCCATCTTTTATTTTTTTTAATACACGTGAACTTTTCATCAGCGCTACACAGAGGGCACGGTGTGCTGGCAACGGAAGGCAGCATCTGCGTTCTCGCCTGACCTGCTTTACCTCTCAGGCACTTCAGGCTAGCCGAGCTATGCGTGGACCTTTGTGAAGTACAGCCTGCAGAGAAAGATGACCACGCCGGAGTGCTGTGTGGGTGACATGGGCAAACGAGGACCCCAGAGGATCTTATCACCCCTGTGTTCCTCACAACACGGAGATGGTCTGCTTCTGATTCCACGCCTGCTCTAAATCCCCTGAGAGCAGGAGCCACCGCCTCCTCATCTACCCTTGAGTTCTCAGAAGTGGCATCATACTTAATCCAGAAATTTCCACTGAAGATCGCTGAAGGGGTGACCGGAGGAGCTGTGTGCGGGCACTGGGCAGAAGGAAATCACACAGGAGTTTCACATTTTCATAAAGGGACAAGATTTAAAAAACCCAACCAATAGGGCTTGGGGGTTTACTGTTACTTGTTTTTAATTAGGATGGAATGCAACGAAGGTAGGGAGGAGGCACATACTTCTGTGAATGTCAGACATTATATCGATTATGGAAACTCCCATAATCGGGATCCAGATGGTCCCATCACCCTAAAATCTCCCTTCTGCGGCTCCTTTAGAGTCATATAAAGCCATCTACAGCCGTAGCGTTTGTATATTGAAAAACTGTTGGGGAGGAGAGGGAGGTGTAAGCTTTGAAGATGAGGGGCTAGTTCCAAGATTTTCTTGGTGCCCGTCTGTTCTTGCAGGCAGTTACTTTGAGACCAGAGTGGGGAGGGATGGCTGGAGAATTTGTTCTCTTTCTCTTTCTCTCTCTCTTTCTGTATCACTCTGTACTGGGTATAATTCTTAAGTGGACAATACAGACCACCTTACTTCATCCTCAAGAGCACCGAAACAGCTATTACTACTGTCAGGTTGTGTTTTACAGGAAGGTTGTGCCGTCTAACTAAAACCACACAGCCCTGTCACTGAAGCAAAGACCGCACTTTAGATGATTCTCAAACCCCTCTATCCTCTCACCCAGCTGACTTGCATTGACGGAGGCATTGGAGCTCATTCCCCTAAGCCACATGGAGGGCAGGCATTAAGGTTTGACTTGTATTGACGAAGGCACTGGAGCTCATTCCCCTAAGCCACGTGGAAGGCAGACACTAAGGTCTCCAGAAGTGCTGATGTCAGAACTGCTCTGAGATTCTACAGCCACTACCTGACGACCCCAAGGTGAGACCAGGAACGTACTCAGGTTAGTGCAGATGGACATAAAGGTGGCTATGATGCTTAAACAATCATGACGATAGCCAGCAACAAGAAAAGGAAAAAAAAAACCCCAAACGTTCTGATGTTATAAAAATCCAGTCATAATCTGCAACACAGGAGACTTGTTCTGCTCCACACTGCTATCCATGCAGTTGGAAAAATTGATAATTCTTATGAGTACTAGAGTATACTTTAAAAGACAAAATGAAAAAGAGTGTCCATATAAAAGCAAAAGAAAACGGCCATCCTGGCTACTCAAGAAGCAGAGGGAGGAGGAACACTGGAGCCTGGACCTTGCGTCCACTGTGGGTAACATAGTGAGATCTCAGCGCAACAAACAACCAAAGCCAAATGGAAGGCTGCATGTGGCCTCCAAGTGCAGGTGACAGCCCCCGAGGGAGATGACACCCTCTCTCATCTGTCTTTCACTTCAGTTATACCTGCTGTTCTCGGCGGCCACTCTGGCCAGAGTGTGACAACGCAGTCACGTGCACTCTCGTGACTCTCCCCGCTCACCTGGTTCTACTTCGTGCCATCCACTGGACTGACTGCCACTCCCCGGGGAGCGCCCTTGGCCTGTGTAAAACGGTTCTTCACCAGGACTGTCCATTTCATCCTCCACAGACTTGAGGCGCTTTGTAGAGCTGAAAGAAAAAGAAGAAAAGAAATGCATGTTCACAAGCACTCTAAACCACCTTTCTCCTGGATGCTTCATGGGAAAAAAATGTGCAGTTCTCCAGGCTCTTCTGGAGTTGGGCAAGTTACTGGATGTGGTACACACGCTTGGCCTATGCGTCCAAGCGCCGGCTTCATCCTTACTGATCAAGTTGTTGCCACCAATGGGATGGAGGTTTTGCTTTAGGGAGCTGGTGTCTGGCTCCTGCTTTGGCATCCACTTAGGAAGCCCAAGTATCCTATCTCCACAGATGTGACTTAGGGCAAGCCGTTAGCCGCATGTCTAGAAACTTATTCAACTCCATGCAGAAGGCCCCCGGGTTAAAAGTAAGTAAATAAAAAGCAGGGCTCGTTATCCTTCTAGGAATTCTTTGATTGCTTTGTGTTGGGGGAGTGGGGGGGGGCACTTTCCATCTTCCACTTGGATTTGTTTATTAAAAAAGGATATTTACTAGATCTCTGTGTAGTTGGTCCAGCTACTCCCTGAGGCACTGAGATAAAGTGCCAAAGAGAATGGCTAAAAATAGCAGGAAGGAAGGGCACAGACATACAGCGGTCTAGGGACTTTTATGTCCTTCGACACAGAGAGGAGCAAAGTGACATTTTATTTTACTTGTGTGACTGAAGACTTGGTTTCTGCGGAGGAAGGCCAAGGAACTTCCGCGACATAATCTCTTTCCTTCCAGCTGAAGAACTACTGAAGAACCTTCCCACCGTGAAGCTTGAGGGTTAGAAAACAATGAAACATGACCCGTGGCGTGTTCCTACACTAGCTGACCATACTGAGAGTGCCAGCAACACACTGCTGCATGGGCAGACCTCCCGCCCTGGGCAGTGACAGCTGGGAAACCTGCCCACGTGTCAGGACGCAGACCTCTCCCTGGGTTTCATTCATCACACACTGGTGGTGTAGTTCCTCCATGCCAGCGGCGGCATGGAAATGGAGAATGGTGTGGCAGGTCAAACATGGCTCTCCATGAACAGAGATGGAGAGGCCCAAGAGAAACAGAGGGGGCATGAAGGGACCATGCATGGGCTGCAGATGGAGGGACACTGGTACTGACACTGGAGCTTCAGAAGGACATCTCAGAGCAGAGGGGCTCCTGAGCTGTCTGTAAGGGCTAATGAGATGGCAACAGGAACAGGAAATGGCTAAGGTAGACTGGTAATCCACTAATGCACAACTCAGGCACTATTATGATTTTTAAAAATATTAAAACCCTCTGTATTTTCTGGCAAACTGCCATTGTCTCAAGCTTCATAAGTTTTTTTTTTTCTAACCTTGGGATTTTTCCTTTGCCCCATGACACTTTCGTGCCTCAGAACTGAAGAAGGTGATGTCTGGCCCCCTGGGATCACAGCAGAGAATGACAGGGCAGCATCCACCCTCACTGCTGAGCTCATGGCATAAAGGTCACCAGGCACCGAGTATCACCCCAAGAGCAGGTGTCTGGCAGCAGTGGCAGAAGCCAGGTGTGATACACAGAAAATTGCTTCTGAGATGCTGAGACCATTGGGGTGGGGGGCCTAACAGAAGAAAAACATGGAGGCCAAAGACGATACTGTAAATCTGGACTTTATCCTACAAGCAACAAAGACTTCTGAAGCCCTCTACATAGGTGTGACATGGGAGTTACATTATGGAAAAGTGGCTAAGAGTGCAGAATATGGACCTGGGAAGGCAGCAGGAAAAGGGAGGGGTATTAACCTGGAGAAGGGGAGATAATGTTACTGCCACAATCTTAATTTTAAAATGTGCAGGACACGATTTAGGTAAGAAATTAAAATCATTCATGTGGGTGGTCCAATGTTCTTAGGTTTTAAGTTCTAGTCTCACTAAAACCAGATTACCCGGAAGCAACCCTATGTTACCATGCTAATTTAGGACTCAAGGACAGGTCTGGAACTGCCTAGTTAATCATCTTCCTTTTTCTTGAAGTTTGGTGAAAAATAACCACTTGAAAACCTTTTCTGTTTATGTAAAATGTATCGAAGGCATGTCCTTTATTTGAGATTATACCTAATACACACAGAAAACTAATTCCAATATAAAAAAACCAGAAAACCATAGTGTCTCTAAATGCAATTCTATTTTCTCTTTTAGTGGAAAATACAAGAGATCTAACCAGATGGTTCCCCTTCTTGCCTTGCAAGCAGGAAGCTAAGGGCCACATTTAAAGTAAATCTCTTGGTCAGGGTTCCTGATCTAATAAGGAGTTCCCTACTTCCCACATAGGGTCTGGCTTCTTCCTCTACACTTAGTAATACTTGTATTTTTAAAACTGTTGGCCACTTGAAATCACCTTGCAACTTAGAAGACTGTAAGTTGGTTGAAATTCCCCAGTATACTCCAGTCAATCAAAAACCAGACTTGCATGTTCTGGTAAGACTATAAGAGCTATGGGGATGAGATTATGCTTTTTTTTTTTTTTTTCTTCAGGGGAACTGTGCTGCCTTGATATTCCATGATTCTTTGTTTTGTTTTGTTTTTCAAGACAGAGTTTCTCTGTGTAGCTTTGCGCCTTTCCTGGATCTCGCTCTGTAGACCAGACTGGCCTCGAACTCACAAAGATCCACCTGCCCGAATGCTGGGATTAAAGGTGTGCGCCACCACCACCCGGCCTATGATTCTTATATTACGACACTGAGTTTTATGTATCTGGACGACCAACAGGAATAATTTGAATCCTGCACAATTGCATCCTACACAACTTACTACCTGTTTTACAATGGCATTTGTGATATGCAAGCATAGACTTGAGGTGCTTACTGAACCAAGTTCCTAGCTGTGCTCAGGGGGCAGAGGTGCAGGCTGACATTACTTGAGGAGTAGCAGATTAACTTCTCAGGAGATTCTGCATCTTCTGGTGTCCTAACCATCCTTCCCTAGACCCCTTTCCTCCCTTACATGTGTATCAGGATACCACCATTTACCTGGCTCTGGATTCCATCCCCACCACGGAGACATCCAGAGAAACTGAACTTTGTGGTCTTGGGAACCAGAAGTACAGGTGACATCACCAGAAAGTTCCACCTCATCCTGGCTGACAACCTACGAATTCTCCACCTTTTTATTGGTATCGATTTTTTGATCTTGTGTCTACTCCAGTGTCAGATTATTTTAAGTGCTCAAAAGCTTCTGTGAGCACATGTGATAAAGGATCATCCAAGCATCTATAGTCAATGAGATCCAACCCTAGAGGTCAATTCCACTGTATGTTGCTCTCCCATTGTTAAGTATTTTTCTGAGTTCTAAAGCTTTGGTTTTCCTTGGGAGTGCTCTAATAAAATTCAGGTATGAACTGTACAGGTGGGGACACCGTATGATTACAGTTCACACCTGAGCTTGCGTACGAGGGCATGCAGGGTGGACACAGGCTCAGCATCTGCAAAGATGGAAGTGTGGAGAGAAGGAGAAGAGGACCCAGGCGGGAGGAAAGTTGGCAGTACTAGGAAGAATAGGCAAGGGGCTTCTGAGACACAGTTTACAGATCCCATGAACTGCACATGGACGACTATCTTGACAAAGTTCTTTAGAATAAAACCCTTCTATTTTTACCCAACTTTCCTATGATTTTGGAGATGCTCATTCTAGATCAATATAAAGCATATGGGAAACACGGATCACGCTTTTTTTTTTTTTAACTTATTTCTTAACTTTTGTAAATGATCTAGTCCTTGATTCTGTCTCTTGCTCCTGACTGTCTAACACAAAGATTTCTACTGCATGCTTCCTACTATGTGAGACCTACCTTGTTCTGTATCCACAAGGCAAAACCATTCCCCTTACCGAGGGTTCACATGAACCAACCTGAACATTTCTACAAAGCTCCTCTGGTTTGTTTTTGTGCCCAAAGTACCAAGTCAAAATACTTGGTGCTCATTGTTTGCTTATGAGTTGGAAAAGTGAGACACTGTCATTCAAGGGACATAGAACCAGACTGTGAGGAAAGACAGGCTTAGGCCACTAATAGAGTAACAATATCCAGACAGTGGCTACTATGGACCTTGGTAAGGTGGAGATTCGAGACACTGATTTGCTAGGATCCTACACTCTATGGTTCTTGGGTACAGCATTACTGCTAAGACAATTCGGTGTAAATAACAATGGTTTGTAAATTGCAGAAGACCTGAATTTGAACGGTGACCCTGTCTTTACCAGGGCTATGGCCCTGGCAAGTTGCTCAACTACTCTGTGCTCTGGTGGCTCCATGGCTACAATGGCAAGACAGTCTGCTGGAGATGACTAAAACTGTTGTGTGTCAATCTGGAACATTCCTCAAGGCATATTTTCTAATGTGTAACAGATAATTCTGTTGAGTCTATATATTGAAGGGCTTTTTAAAAAAAATCACCTTAGGGCAGGCAGTGAGATGCCTCAGCAGGTAAAGTGCATGCTGGGTAAGCCTGATAACTTGAGTTCCTTCTGGGAAACACATGTAAAGGTGAAAGGAGGAACTGGCTCCCCAAACTGTTCTTTGATGTCCACTGTACACCTGTGCAAGCATGCACCTGATTGTTCGTTTTCTCTCTCTCTCTCTCTCTCTCTCTCTCTCTCTCTCTCTCTCTCACACACACACACACACACACACACACACACACACACTAACAAATAACTAAATAAAAAACATCCCAGGAAGAGGCCCAAATATGACTGAGTTATTAACTACTAATATTTATAATTAGCTCCTTATTGGGACTAGTTATTTGCAGAATAGGAGAATGACAGAATAAAAGAATTAGCCTCTTACATGACAATAATCAGCCTTTCAACCACAGCTCACAACATAAAATCACAGAACAGAGCTTGGAGCATATGAAGGGATGGGAGGTAAGGGGGGTACTGCTAAAGAGGTCCATGGGACAGTGGCTGACATATGAAAAACAAGCCACCCGTGCACTTTTAAATTAAGCACTGCCCATAAGTATTTACAAAGCTTTTATTGTTGGCTGAGCACACTGTCTCTTCCAGCAGCAAATATTCAAAACCCTCCAAGTGTATTAACACCCAAATGTATTCGCAATCCCCCTCTTCTGTTGTGAATGCATTTGGGATTGGGGACTCTTGTTTCCTTGTGGAGGTGATACTGTAATGAACTAAGAAGAACATTTAAACAATGCTGAAGACGAAGGCAAATATACAGCGTTAGACACGGCAGCCTGATTCATCTTCAAGGTGATGTTTTAAGACACTGGTCACAAAGGCGAGCTGGCCTCCCACACTCTGGGCAGTATTTTAAATCATAAATGTCTGTACTTGCTTTAACAGAAATCACATTTGATAAATGTTTTTCTGCAAAGTACACAAGCGTGATTGGCAGTCCTGCTCTGCTCCTTCCTTTGTTGTCACAGTCCAGTGCTAAAGCCAATTTGTAAAGGAACACCATGGCTCTGATGCCTAATCCCCTGCCCGTGGTCCAGGTTATCTAGAGACCGCAGGGTCTCGCAAAGTGCTTCTCCAGATGTTGGCTCTGATGGCTACCTCAGGGGATCGGGAAGCCTGGCACTCATAGTGAGCTGTGCTTTCCAACTTGAGCTTTTTAAGGCCTCCTGGATCACCTGGGTTCAAAGGATGGCCCCATTCTGCTATCTGACCTGCATTTCTTTCTTTTTTTGTTTTTGTTTTTGTTTTGTTTTTCAGACAGGGTTTCTCTGTGTAGCTTTGCGCCTCTCCTAGAACTCACTTGGTAGCCCAGGCTGGCCTGGAACTCACAGAGATCCGCCTGGCTCTGCCTCCTGAGTGCTGAGATTAAAGGTGTGTGTCACCACCGTCCAGCCCTCACCTGCATTTCTTTTATAACCTCATATCAGGATACCAAATCAGTTGTAGCTTTGGGAAACTTCAACAGACTGGATTTGGGGACTTATGGGGCCCAGCAGGCTAAGAAGGTTGTGGCCAGGGTGCTTAGGCTGGTGTCAGTTCCCACCATATGCCAACCAAGCCAGAGCACTCTCCTCTTCTCTCCCAGTCAAGTCCATCCATCTTTCCCAGGGAATATGCTACATTCATTATTGCTCTTCTCCATGTCTTTGCTCATGTTATCCCTCATCCAGATACCTTAAAGCAAACAAACTAGCATTCAGAGTTGAGCACCTTACCCTTTGGACAAAGCCTGTTCAAATCATGCTTATTTCATGGCATATAACTGAAGTGATTGTTTTTTCTTGCTGGTGCGCATCTGTGTGTGTGTGTGTGTGTAACTTGCCATTTGTCTCATGTATATTTGCTTTGGCTCTCTCATGAGACAGCCTATTGAGGCTTAACCCACTACTTTTGTCCCCCCTATCGTTATAGACACATTGCTGAATGCCCAGCATGCACAGAGTTCAAGATCAAGGTGTGCCTTTCCATGTTTTAGCCTCTTCTGAGGCCAGCAATCCACTCACCTGGTAGAGGATGTGCTGGGTAGAGACCTCCTCATTGCTCCTGGACTCATGCTGTAGTATGAAGAACTTTCCAAATCAGAGAGAGAAAAGTTGGGGCCAGTTCCTGCAGCTATTGGTGCTAGAGAGAGGAGACCAAACAAGCCGTAAGTTAAGTCCTGTGAACCCAAGATCAACGAGAACCTACATTAGTGTGGCATGGAACACATTTTCTGTTTGCATTTATCTGCAAAGCTTATCCAGAATAATCACTAATAAACTGTGACTTCAAAGGAACATTGACAATAAAAACGGTCCATACCAAAAAGTCATATTCTTTCCGATGTGCCTTTTATCTTTTTCTTTTTTGTAATAGTAAACTGTCACCAAGCTTATGGCATTCCTGGGTGGTTTAAATGAAAATACCTCTCATGTTTTAGTCTTAAATGTTTTTTAAATGACTGCCTCAAATTTTCCCTATGTTTTCTCACTTTGATCCCAACAGCTTCTCCTTATCTGTATTTTGGAATTCTGTTCTGAATTTTAATGAGAGTGAATCCATCCATCGAGGTCTCCATTTCCTATTTCCTGCAATGTGAAATATGTGCATTCTCTTTGCTTTATGGCACATGAACTGCCTGCACACATATCTTTTGGTGTGTGTGTGTGTGTGTGTGTGTGTGTGTGTGTGTGTGTGTGTGTATAAGTTATGACTTTCCAGAGAAATACTGATTGCATACGCCTTCACTGCACGCTGCCATGATAGCAAGAACTGCAGCTCCAATGGGATCACATGGCCTGTGAAGCCAAAGTATTTGCTACCCACACTTTATAGAAGATTTTTGCCAACTTCTGGTTCCACAACACTGACCTATTTATTATATTTATAGTGGATCATTTCTGAGATATGATTGCCTGTATTTTTATGTCTTCCTGCTTCTAGATGCCTTGCCTATAGTAGCTTAATAAGTACTTTTTGAATTAATTAATCACATCTACCAATCTTCTTTTAAAACTGTAAATTCCACAGTAGGACTATCAGTTCAAGAAGTCTTTTTGAAATATCATGTAAAAGCAGTACAGTAGATGGTATACTAATATACACTGTACATATTAAGTCCATATATGTAGATAAATACATTCAATACACTAATACCTGTCAGGAGAAAAGATAATTAGGAGCACCACGAGCCCAGATTTTACTCAGGAAATGATTATGGAGCACTGCTATCACCAATAACTGCTGAGAGAAGAAGACATGTCGATCAGAGATATGGTCATCACCCATGAACACACTACACGGGAACCTGGCAGATTAAGGTAGAGATAGCTGAGAAGCCTTTAGACAGTCATTCTGAAACTGGCATCAGCAGTGAGTGTCTAACCCAGCTTGAGAAGAAGACACTCAAGAAGGTAAAAGCCCTGAGGAAATGCACGCACAGAGGATGCTGAAGGGACAGGAGGACACACGCAACTGGGAGGGAAAGAGGAATTCTGGGTAGAGTGACTAGCCTAAAGAGAACAGAAGATGTTGACTGGGCTTCTGACAGCTTTGTGTCATAGTGTGACACAGAGTGAAAAGGACATAGCTCAAGTAGAGTCACAATGGATGGCTAAGGTTAGGTCATGAAGGATCTGGCATTTTTCTTTAAGAAGCACAGATCTGAGTCTGGAACATCACAAGTTTGTGAACCGCTGATGCACTCCTCATCCCTGGGAACAGAAAGCATTTGCAGTGAGATCACCACTGTCTAAGCATCAGCCCTGGCAGCCGGAGGCAATCAATAAACACGTGTCATATGTGCAGGTGGCTGGGCTGAGTTTTATTCACTAGACAAAGAAGGGCCAGCAGCCTATGGGGATACCATCAATTTTGCATTTATAATCTAGAAATATCTCTCACTCACGAGAGGAACCGTGGGAGAGAAGGGGTGGTTGAAGAATCGAGTTAGTAAAACCAGAGGCAGCGATGTCATTTAAACAAGAAGATGAGGTGAGATGATCTAAAAGGATGGCCAGGAGGAGCCAGGTATTAGTAATATTTGGCAGTTCACTGTGACAGGAACGGGCGCTTCTCAGGACTGGTGCTTGGGAGGCAGGATGAACTGTATCGTGCCTTAAGTGAGTCAGGAATAGAGCCGTTCCTAAGAATATACATTGAGTTGACTGATAGCAATGACTAAATCTCCAGCTTAGCTGTCATGTAAAAACAATTCTTTACTAAGACATGGAAAACTGAAAATCAAACACCTGTCTCAGTAACAGGCTTTAGTAAAAGGGGGGCGCTTTAGCTCATATTGACAATAGTGTAAACAGATTTCCACTCAATACTGCTGCTAGTCGTTCTATCATTTGCTTTTGTGTTCAATTTATTTGCATAATTTCATCTTTTATTCCACAATATTTTATGTATGAAATGGGCCATTATGCAAGATGGCCCATGTCACTCATCATTACCGTAGCTGCCTGATACATTAATAACATGACAGGTCCTCTTAAGGCCTTGTGTCTCCTGGAGCCTACAGTCATGTGTCTTGGTAACTAGAGAAAATGAAAAGGCATGCCAGTGTCAAATGTGGGAATCTAGATTATTTTCTCCACAAATTTCAGAGTGGAGCTGAGGCCTTGACTTGGTGGGGAAGCTTTCACCTCTGAGCACAGAGGAAAAGGTGAGATCCTCCTGCAGCTGGCTGCTGTAATCAGAGTGAGGATGAGTAGCAAGGCCTGGCCTGAACTGAGTGCGATAACTCAGAGGCATCTACCGAGTGGTGAACACTGGCACTGCTCCACTGAACACTTCATGTACTGTGCGGTTCATCCTAGGAAAATGTCTTTTTCAAACTCTGTTCGCTTTTTAAAATATCAAGGGAGTCAGCATTTGTGAAGGAAGAAACATGCATACGTAAATATGGTGCACTACCTTTCCACAGATTTAAAATAATTCGGTCCACATACATGTTCCCTAATGTGCCCAGTATTGACCTCCTGTGATCCATGTAGTTTACAGTGATGGGAATGCAGCAAAGGCTCCAGATAGCCTGGTCCAAAGTGCTCAGTGGCCATGGCGAGTGATTGGCAAACAGGCACATCTAAAATTTTAAAGCATTCCTGAATCGAAAACGAGAATGAGCTTCTCAGCCCGGGTTAAATCATCCTAACAATGCAGGGACCCCAACTGTGCCTTCTATGGGAAGTCCTTGCACACACATGTTTACATTACTCTCCATGCATGCAGCCCATACCGTATGTAGGGTCACCTTGTGACTGGCTAGGGGAGGGCCTCACACCTAAGTGCAGGTTTCCTGTCACAGTGTCCCTATAACAAGCACAGCACTCTCAGAGCCTCCCATGTGGAGAACAGGCAGAGCCTTTGATAAGCAATGAAGGGAGAACATCATAAGGAAACTGTGAGAAGGCTTCTGGAGACCTTAGGAGACCATGTATTTAGGAAGTACTATAGCCATATAGTACCATATCATAGTACTTATGATAAACATGCAAAACTGGCCCCTAGCATTACCATTACCATCATAATCATCATCATCATCATCATCATCATCATCATCATCATCATCATCATCACCACACTCTTAAGCAGTTTTTCATGGGCCAGCTGCTAGGCTAAGATCATTAAGCACATCCTTCCATTTAATCCTCACAGCGCCACTAGGAAGGAACCGAGGCACAAAGAGATGGAACGATGTCCCCAAGTCATGAAGACAGATCAGACCACCTGACCTTAAGTCATCCATATCCCAGAACTGCCTCTGTGCCCCTCAACAGCTCACTACCCTTTGTGTAGACAGTTGAAGATCAATAAATACACAGTGAATTAAGGAAATGGTTATCAGCCCCATTCACCTCCCTCAACTTGGAGTAAAAATGAAAGTGTATTCTATAAATGTGCATAAGTAGAGGAAGAGGCCCCTGTTTCTTAAGCAATACTGTAATTACTCTAGCCTAAGTATCTTGTTCACCAAGGAGTTTTTCTCAAAAGGTTAACTTTGGAAATTGTGCCTTCAGATGTTATTTCTAAGCCATGCATTTCCCTTCCCCCTCTTTCCTGTCATGAGTAGAATGTACTCTGTGTCATTTCTTAATAAATGGTTTGCTATTAAGGCATCATTATAGTAATGTGGGCTATTGGAAGAAAGGGGTTACTTCAGTAGCCAACCCTCTTGATGACCTGCTCTTCTGTACACATTAGCAGTTGGATAGGGCTGTGGTTATTGAACTTCTGCCATCCACCAGAGACAATCTGCTCAGGGTTGCATTGCTGGAAAGAGAGGACTATGGGAAAAAAAAAAACATTCTATCCAAATTTCCAGGCTCTTCTGCCTGGGAGATGATGGTGCTGAGCTTATGGCCTGTTTGACAAGAACTGGCAGGAAGCATTATCAAAATGTCTACCCATGTGTCCAGCCTCCAGTTGAAGGCACACAGAAGCTGCATTTCATGGGACACAATGCGTAATTAAAGAGCCCCTTTGGTACCTTAGGCATTGCTTCATATGCTTAAAAACAGTAGACAGGACATGAAACCCTCTGCCCTGGAGAGGCTTGCATTCTAGGGATCAGACATCACAACTCTCCTTCCCTCAGATCTGCATGCTCCCTCCCCCAACATACACAAAGGGGGAAAAAAATTAGAAATAACGGCCATAAATCCCTTCCAAAGCCTATGAGGACTCAGCACTCCATTTCTAACTGGTAAAATAACTATGAAAAATTAAGACATCTTTTTCTTTCAATTGTATGACCAAAAACCTTCCCAGAGAGCTTGGAGCTTGCACTTTAGACTGGGGGCTGGGGACGCCAACAATAGCACACAGTTCTATGCCGGGACAATTTCATGTTGTTTTGCATTCCATTGGCAAAGGTCCTATAAGAAAGTCCATGTCACTGCCACAAAAGGAGCGAACATGGGAAAATACTTGTTCTTCTTTCCATCAAAGGCTCAGTTGTGAGACACACAATGCTATGAAAACTGGCGAATCTGGAATCATCGTTAAAGGAAATTAACTTGGAAAGTAATTTATGGCAAGAAAATCCAACTCCTTTGTTATCTCCTTTTTACTGTAATATGTTTCCTGAACACTGCCTAAAAGAGAGGGCTTTTAGAAAGAAAAAAATAAGTATAGTA